GTTGCCTACCAACAGCCTCAAGTACCGCCAGTCCAGGTTTATCAACCGGCTCTGCAGAGGCGCCCTAGCGCGTTTGTACCGCAAACTCCTCACTCCCCTGCTTACCAACCTTCGCCGGTACCGCACCCGTATACGGCGGCTCAGCCAACCCCATATACGCCATATCAGGCAGGTCGTATGCACGTACCGCCAGCATCGGTGTACAACCCTAACGCGCCTCGTCCAATTGAAGTCTTCCGCCTCAGCGAAGCGGCAAATGCAGCAATCCCGGAGGATATTCGTGAACAGTTTCATTGTGACGACTCGGGCCATGTGCTTTTCTTCTCTGCTCCGCCACTCGATCTGGTTCCATCCCTTCAACAAAAACTAGGTCATTCCCTAAAATATCTGGCTGCTAAGGAGGAACGTCGGAAACTTGTCGAGCAGCGGAAACGGAAAGAAGAGCTCGACAGAGTCGAGCGAGAAGAGCGAGTCAAACGCCTACGTGCTGATGAAGAGACAAACCTCGCTGCCCGTGTGGAGGCGTTGACCGCCAAAGCTGTTGAGATCATGACAAGCCATGTCATGGTTGGCACGGAAAAGATCTACGAACATCTATACTCGAACCGAGCAGAGACAGCCAAGCAAGCGGATGCCGACGCTCGCGCACGCAGGATCACGGCTGATCACATCTCTCAAGAGAAGACGGCGCAAATCCAGGCTTATTCCAACAAAGCGACCACTGTTAGCCTTAAAGGTAGTGCTATGTATATGGACGATATTGACCCCAGGATCTAGTGCCGAGGAGTGAGTTCACGTTCTCCGTCGCGTGTCATTGGTGCCTCTCAGGACCTATACATGAGAATAACAAGGCGACCGTGTTTTGTTTGAGCTTCGGCGTTATCACGTTGTTACTTTGAAAGGTATTATTATCATTACTGAGGAAAAGGGAGGGCGCGTAATGTTCAGGAGTCTGGTATGGGCAGAGCGAGAATGACAACACCGTTTGTGTATACTAGTAGCATTTAAGATACTGCAATAAAAGCTGAAAGTCCAAGAAATCCCTCCACCGGCCTATGGGACCAGACGTTAGGACTAGGCATGCGCTTCATGGACGCCCGAGCGTCCTCTGCTCGGGTCAGATATGTACACCAATCACTTTAGCCCGCACACCCAAGCAATGGTTCTAGCGTGAAAGCTGGGAGATGCTGCCCGAAACACAAATCACCCGATTTCTCCGTACACAGGCGCACCATGCGCTGACTGGAACAGACAAGATATCGAGTATGACCATGGGCAGCTTAATCCCAATATCGGAATTATCGGATAGACAAAGGAGGCAGTAAGAAAGGGGCGCTAGGAGACGCTCATTGCCTCGTGAGATTCACCCAAGGAGAAAAGATTGGAAGCAGAACAAGGAGGATGTTGTGGTTGAGTCAAGACTGAACGATGCAGACCAAGAATATACATAAGATAACCTGCTGGATGATGGGGGCCAATCAACCGTCGACCCGATGGGGCTGAACCTGAGTCGAGTTTCCCTTTCCTTCGTCCGAAGACCTTCGGAATGGCCGATAAAGATAGGACGCTAACCCAAATGAAACGACATGAGAAAGGAGAAAAGAAAGGAAGAATTCTAAGAATGACAACAGTCTCAGCACTTCCTCCAACCGAGTTACAAGATACCCTGAATTAAGATGCCTGATTTGGTCCTAGACCAAGCGACTGAGGTTGTAAAACAGGAAGAGTCAGTTCCAGATAGTTCGCTCGACCGTTCTATGCAAAATTCCCATCAAAATGCGAAACACGATGACGAAACGATGAAAAGGCAACGCAAGTAGGGGTAAAATCCAGGGGCATCCAGAAGACCGTTGTTTTCCTTTGAATGTCCAGGTATGAACACAATTTGAACTGGTGGTGCAAAACTTTTTTGCTTTTTAATTTCCCAATTGTTCCTTTTTGCTCGTAAACTCCGCGCTTTAATGTTGTCATGGATGCATGTGCAGATTTGGTTCCAGATAATCATCTTCAACAACATCATGGCTGGAAACCTGAGTTGCTTGTGGGGGTCGATACCCCATCGTTGGATTCCGCCTTATCGGTGGCCCAAGAAGTACTGTTCCGTTTGGTGCTGTCTTCTTCTTCCATGGAGAAGACTAAATCACTTTGCTCCTCGTCGATCTTGCTCGTGCTGACAGGCGACGAGATTGTACGGTCCAGGCGGCCGTTGGAGCCTACTGCGGGGGAGTGACGGGTCGGAGCAGGGTGAAGAGACATGCTACTCAGCTGCTGAGAGATCATGGACGTCGACGACTGCCTGCCAGGACTGGCCACATATGGAGAGACATCGCCGGAGATCTGTCGGCTTCCGATGGGGCCCAAACTGGGACTGGTACCTAGATTGAGGGAGGACTCACGAAGAGGCGAGCCGATGTGTGAAAAGGATGTACCATGGGAGTCTTCATCCTTCTTCTGCTGGCGTTGCTTGGCAAATAAGGCACCAAACCGTGACGGACTGGATGCTAGCGGAGAGCCGACCTTGGAGAAGCTGGTGCTGGTCATACCGAGTCCACTCAAATCGCGGTGGCTGGAACTGAGATCATGATCGGTGCGCGATAGGCGTCGGAGTTTCTCCTGAGGGGTGAGGACATCATCGTGCAAATTGATCGGCAGATAATCCTCCTCCATGGGGAAGTTGCTTTCGTCCCAGTCATCCAATGCTGTGGGTCGGGGAACACTGGCCGAAAGCATGCGCGACTTCACTGGCCTAGCAGAGTGTAAAAATCTCGGTCCTACCCCATCTTCGGGAATGCCCGGAGGGGACGACCCCATGAACGACGAGGGTTTCCTGAAGTCAGACCCATACGCTGTGTCACGGAGATTACGAAGTACATCTGACGGACCACCCATTCTCTGCGCTGGAGGAGAGGCCAGATCCAACCCGAACTTCGATGGCACGGACGCGGCCACGGGGCCATAACGAGCGACGTGCGAAATGCCTTGACTGTCAAACGACGCGGGGAGCTGTGCGTCAAGAGCGGTTAGGTGACGGTGACTCGGAGACATAGGGAAACGCGTGTCGTCCGCTGGCGACCCATACTTCGAACCCGCATCCGAGGCTAAACCTGCATCGATGGTAGGGATGGCGTCGAACGGCGGTGGGGGTGGCTGCTGCTGCTGTTGTAGAGTACTGAACTCCTCTTGAGGCGGCAGTTGCGAAGCGTAACGAGGATCATGATTACCCAAGCGCTGTTGGGAGAGGACCGAGTTCGTCAAGGCCGAATCTTGATTGACATATGCTTGAGGGTTGACGCGTCCTCCAAGATTGAGATGGCCTCCACCCATTCCCATACCGGGACTTGGACGATTCACCCGCCGACCATCAGGAAGGATATGCGCCAGCGCGCACTTGGCTCCGAACTTGCAATTGCCCTAATTATGCGGAGATAAACCAGTCAACTCCATGCTCTCGAGATCGAGGATGAGGAGGGAAGGAAATTGCTTATATCCTCCGCTATGAGAGGGAGAGTAGGAACAAGATGGAACCGGTTACAGGTCGTACCTTGGTGAAATATTTGCAAGGCGCATAGTCAATCGCGGCGTCTGTGGAGTGTAGGAAAGGACAAGCAGGACCGGCCTGGCAAGCTCCCTGGCGAAAGAATTTGCAGGGGACATGCTTGGTATCTAGAGAAGATAGCGACCGAAATTAGTTCATCTCTTTCTTTCACCCAAAGAGAAGTTGAGGAGCGGAGCAAAAACGGTCATGGAAAGCGACAATCCTGCAAGTAACCGAAGTGCGATCGGAGAAAGGGAGCAGAATGTGATCGAGGGGTAAAAAAGAAGAGTCCTGGTCTGTACTTACTGCTCTGGTTGGGAGGACTGCGGGCAGCCATGTCGAAGCCGGAGGAGGGATTGCGGGAATGGCCGTTCTGCACAGAGGGGGCTTCGGAGGGGACAGGAAGAGGAGTACGATTTTTCATCTCACAGAGGAGAGATGGCGATGTTCGAGGACGAGAACACTGGAAAGAAAGACTCTAGAATATGATAATCAATCTGTAAACTTTTATTGGAATAAGAAAGAGAGTGTGAGTGAGTGAGTGGTGAGGACACTCCCTTTGGCTGCGATGAGGCAGAACAGAAGGGAAGTCAAGACCGTTGGAAAATCCGGAGGGGTTGATTTAGTCGGTAGTAGTTTAGTACCTGGTATCTATCGAGTATCTAAGGTAGTGGTGGTTATCGTATAGATACTGGGCACGGGGAGGTTTCCACAGGTGGGGAATCGTAAATAGTACTTACATACTCTGTCGGTACTGAGTTGTATTCAAGGTCATTATATTATTACATTATTATATTGTTGTTGTCAATGAGATAGGTCGATTGGAGGATATTCCAGCATTGATATGTGTATGATATTCATGGTATTTGATGATGCTAATCAGATAGCTGATCCTCTTCATTCCTCATAACGGTTGGTTAACCCGCCTCATGACTGTCTACCATATAAAGGGGAAGGGAGGGATTCGCGCTGCACATGATATCGAGTGATGATAGCTATGACCCTATGTACTAATATCTAGTTTGTACCATCAACGAATGATCATCCTCAAAGGCGTCATATTACCTTCGAGGGTCTTTCTCCTGACCAAGTCTCGTGCACCATTACATAAGTATAGGTTTGAATATAATCTCGCCCTTTCCCCCTCCAGTGACTCGATACATCCCAACTCCCATATCATCTGATAGTTTTCATAAGCCTCGATTTTCGTTGCTCATACTCGACTCTCAATAAAAACAGGACCTGTCCTCCGTCCGCACGTCAATCCACTTATCGTAACGGTCCTGCCGTACGCCGCAGGATTCCAACATAGGTACTATGCATAACGAGCCTCCGAACGGACTGTAAGACCCAGTGCGCAGGAGACAATACTTCAAAGGACAATTGGAGCGGTAATTGCGCGATGAGGCTATGCATCCGCATGGCTCACGGTACCTCACCTATTCATCAGATAAAACGTAGCATTTCAACGAAGAAAGGATCCTTCAAGGCCCAGAGATTCCTGATGGACAAAGTCAGCCGAAACTGCTGCAGATCGACGCCGTAATGCCTCATCAAGAGTTGTTGTGCTTACCCAGAGCTCTTCTCGACTCACATTGTCCGGTACAACCTCCAAGCATCTACTCCATAGATCCCGACAGATCCTCTTACGGACACTAACGATCCTATTCCAGCGTCTCCATTCCTTCCCCAACTTTGCTCTCTCCTCCGGAGACATCTGGATTGAATCACTTTTTTGAATCTTCTTGAGACGAGATGAAACTGCCTGCGTTTCTTGCTCAAGTTGGCCGACATCGTGTCGTAGCTCACAGAGCAATGGCTTCGTGGAGAGCGTCGCTAACTCTGTCCGCGCTTTCTTTTCCTTAGTTTTGAGTGTTGTTAACTGTTCTTCCAGCTGCTTGTTCTTCTCATCCATCATCGCCATGGTTTCCATCGAGAGTTCGTCGGACGCGTCTTGAACGGCATGGTAAACCGTGTGTTTTCCTAAAACCCAGGTAGGGCTTAGTTAGTCCCCAAGGCACTTTGCTTGCAAAGGATGGCGCTGAGCACCTGAGACCCGGGCTTCAATCTCCTTCTTCCGGTGTAGTTCTCGCAAGACCTTCGCTGCGTGCGCTATAGGACCGACATCAGTCAGAATCTTCCAGACGACTCGCCTGAAGTGAAACGCCCGTACTGACTTTTTGAGACCTTGTTATGTAAATTCGTAGAAACGTCGATGGCCTGAGATGCTAGAACATTAGGGTCATTACCACCAGGCGCTCATCATCAAGAGGACGAACCGAATAAGGACGACTGGTTGTGAACGTTAGCATCTCGAGATAGCAAATTCCAACATAGAATATTTAGACCTACTTTTGCTTCCCTAGAAGACCAGTCAGCAGGCAGAGTCGACGGTGCTGTTGAGAGAAGACTCTTGCGAATCAACATGACACTCACGAAGGTAATCCAGGATCAATGAGGCTTCGTCGTTAGCAGCTAGGTGTGCAAAGTAAGCGGGTAGCATACGGAGGTCCTGAAGCAAATCTTGCCGGCTTACCTCCAACCGACATGGCGGCCGCTTTTGCCTTCTTCTGTGCCATGGCGACAGAGGTGGAGTGGTCAATCTACTACCGGACAGAGTCCAGACTATGGAAGAGAAGAGTGAGGGGAACCGGGACGTTGTTGTTCTGACTGAAATTCATCACTGTACAGGGTATAAACCAGCAATCACACAAGGGACACCATCGTCACGTGGAAAATGCTATCCATCAACTCTTAGATATACATACAAGTCTTGTTCCAGAGTTACAGAACAAATATTGGCCTTGGGAAATAAAGCAGCAGCAACCGGGAAAAGAGTAAATCCCAGAAAAACAAGGAGACAAGGTACGCTGAACCATGACAAAATCTTCCAGTTTGTTGGGATGGAATGGATGGCTGCAACACATACAAAACATGGGAAGATAGGGTAAAATCATTCCGAAAAACCCCCCAAATGGGGAAAATGCTTTTTTCAAAGACATCAAGAAAAGGACCGGCCCGAAGTCCAAAGAGAGGTTGAGAAAAACAATCGGTGAAGGCCATCCACTACATCAGGACCTCTCCTACGCCGCCTTTACTCGCTCCGGTTGGGACAATGGCTGTGTCAAATGGTATTCTCCCATGAAGACATAAGGTAGAGAATCGATGAGCGGAATCATTCGGCAAGGGTATCACATGATGATCTAAGGCAGAGGTTAGCTTTGCAGATCTGGTGCAAACGATCCGGAAGAGAATCAAAAACTTACGCAATCACTGTCCTTTTGGGCAGTAGGGACTCCCATTTCTTCGAATGTCTTTGGACCCTTGCCGGGGAGACCCCCTGCGGAGGGTTTGGAGGGTTGTGTTGTGGGCTTTTGGCTGGCTGCGCTCGCGGGGGTTCCAGAGGGTTTGGGAGTCGACGTTCTTGACGACTGAGGGAACGACGCAGCAGAAGGTGAGGCTTGCGGCCGTGGCGATCCCATCGAGCTAGCCTGGGAGTGAGGGGAGACAGCAGTTCGCGCAGGCTTCCGGTCCGGGGGTGCACTATCGAGCCGCTGAGGGCGTCTCCGAGCATCAGCATTGGGAGGCTGATCAAGTGGCGCTGAGTAACCGATATCGAGTTTCGGTGTTCCCGATGGGCTATGCACACCTGTCGGACTCATCGGTCCAACCGATGGCAGCGCCCCCGGCCCCGGGTTACGGTAATTCTGAGGACCTGGGCCGTAAGACGCGGCCCGGTTGTAGTTGGGCGCATTCGCACGGATATTGGGGTTGATCCCAAAAGCCGAGCTGGGGCGCGGGTCTGCCATTGAGTATCCCTGTGGATAAACGGGCCGGGAACGGGACCCTGGTCTGTCGGGGTAAGGCGCGGCGGAGTGTCCAGTGTCTGAGAGACTCATCCTGGACGGATCGGGCATTTCGAGGTTCTCTTGCGTTGATTCTAGAGAACTCTCACGCTGGTGCGACCCGTAGCGCGACTTGATGCGGGCAATCGCGACATTCTCGTGATCTTTCCTCGAAAGTGTCTTTGACCGCGAGATGCTGTCGATCCGGCTTGTAGCGTCTTTATTCCCATTCGCTGCTGCCTTGGCGTACCAGCTTCTGGCTTCCTTGAGGTCAACATCGACGTAAATACCAACCTCGTAGAAATATCCTAGCGCAAATTCAGCTGTCGGGAATCCACTGAGCGCAGCACGATGAGCAAATTTGAAGGCCAACTCGTCGTTCTTCTCGAAAACGCCCTCATGACCGCAGAGAAACCATTTGCTAATCGCCATCTCCGCTTCCGGCTCCCCTTGACGCGCAGCCAGCGCGTTGTAATGTAAGGATAGTGCAGGGTTGAAGTCGCAGCCGAGTTGACCCAGTTCATAGGCGGCGCCCATCTTAACCTGAGCTTTGGCAAATCCGTGATAGGCTGCCTTTTCGATGTTGACACGAGCAGCGTTAAGATCCAGGGGAAGGTAGCTTTCCGGTACATTGACCTGCGGGAGTTCCCGTGCCAAGAGCATACCATAAACCTGTCGAACGTCATGTCAGACCCAAAAGCGTTGAGAACGAGAATGAGAAGAACTTCACGTACATAGGCACCCTGGGGCGCATTCTCGTCGCAAGACTGCGCAGCAAGGCTGATGTAATCCAGCCCCATCTGGTAATCCTGCCGCTGACCATGCTGGCCGAGGAGGATCATCATGCCTAAACGCTGCCGGCCGTGGCATTAGCAAGGAGCTCATTTAAGACGGAAAAGTTTGCCCTGAACATACATAGTAAGAAGCGGAGTCAGCAAGGGCGACTCCCTTTTCGTAGTGTTTGATAGCCTTCTCCGGTTCTCCAGAACTTTCAAACTGCATTCCGATACGATACTCCGCCCGAGCATATCCTCTGTCCGCAGCTCTCGTATAGGCGCGAAAAGCTGCCTTCTTGTCCACGCGATGTCCGAATTTCCCGAACTCTAGCCACATGCCTCTGATGAAATCGGCCTTGGGGTGGTATTGATCCGCCAAGAAGTTCACAATGTTCATCGCATCGAGCTTCAACTGACGCTCCACAGGAGGAGTCTGCGGCCTGGGAGGCTGAATCAAGGAGAGACGAGCCTCGTTTTGCACCGCGACCTCAACGTAGGCGAGAGCGTCCTGAGCCCAGGCCAACTGCATCTCCGGGTCGTTGGACGACAGAACAGCGATTCGAGCTCTCTCCAAACTGGCTTCTCTTTGCTCGTCGGTTGGGGGTACATTTGGCGGGGGATTTCTCAGGACAGGGAAAGGAGAAACGGTAGAAGATCCCATGTCGTAGACCGCGGAGTGCTCATGGTGGGCGACATCGTAACCTGCGCCAGGTGGCGGTTGTCCCTGCGCGACCGCGACGGATGAAGACCGCTCAGGGAAACGTGAGCGATCATGCTGGACTGGAGCATATTGGCCGTGGTGGGGGATCCGCGCTTCGTGCTCGAGGTGGGCTATATTGTCCTGCATGTTTTCTGGAACTTCCGGCATGACCCTGTTGAAATCGAGTGCATCGGGTCAGCAACGCGTACCAGCAGTGTGTTAGACGCTACCAATGGTGGGGGAAGTCCCCTGAAATATGCAATTTGCAATCGCACCTTTGAGGAGAGGGGGATATGACTTCTGGCATGTAAAAGTCATCCTGGCCCCCTGGATACCATGTAGCGCCGAGACGTGGCTGACCACGGCCTTGCGGATGTCTATTCATCGTCCAGATAATAGCCCCTTCTCCTTTGTTTTCCTTTTCTTCAATCTTTTCCAGACGTTTCCGAAAACAGTTCGGATCAGATGTGACACGGAAACGCGATTCTTTAGGCGCTCCTTAATTTTTTTTCTTCCCTTCCAATCAAAGGCTCATGGATTAAAAATAGAACACAAGAGGAAATAAGATCCAAGGGAGATCAGTCTGACTACACGGAACGCGCAGGGTAAAGTGTAGAGATCAAGCGCATCATCCGAAAAGCCGCGAAACGAAAGCTCATACCATAAGACCACGATAGGCCTTCTAATAATGAGTGGTGGAGAATAACTAGAAACAGAGAAACGATATGACCATAGTAAGGATGATATTGAGCGCAAAAGAAGAAGTATCCCTGGGATGAAACTGGAGTAAACTGTAGATAGACCCCAAGGCCAGTAATGAGAAGCGGGGTCCGCGGGAGTGGATGCGGAATTTGACTAGGTAAGGTAGCTGCCTATGAAAGTAAACAATACCGTACCAAGCCACTATTAGATGCTAACGTAGGTACTGCGACTAGGCTGCTACAAATACTCCGGAGTAGATAGTTGCTTCTATATACAACTACCAAGGCGGACAGTTGCTAAGAGTAAGGTAGGGGCTGCAGTCAAAGAAAGATATTAAAAGGTGATAAAGAGAGAGATGTGCCTTACAGGATCCTTTGATGACAGCCATGACAGTACGGAGTACCAAACAACTCCATCATCATCCATATGTCTGATGCAGAAGAAGTACTATGGTGGTTGTCAAAGAGAAGGAGATTTCTCATCTTCAATTTGAGTATCTTCCAACATTCTTTCTTTGAAGGCATGTCTAACTCAATTGAGGTAAGGTATTCAGATACAATCAATCACCTTAAGGGCAGATTTCGAATCAGACTGAATGAATGAGGTCTTGGGGGCATTGTATAACGCAAAGTGCCAAGAGTCATCGTTGTTACTATTAAACTAGATAGGGGAGTACGTGTTATTTATTAGACAAGATTAAAGACTGAGAGTATCCACTGTTATTTTAGAAGCAGTGGCTTTGAACCTGGATAAGGTGATGCCTATGTACTGCATAGGTATAACCTGACTCAGGTAACTTACAAGTTATGGATTCTCATTTTACTCCCTGGAATCCTGGATTGCAGCAAATGATAGCAGGCTACATACTTCTAATGATCATATTCAAACGGTTCAAAGTAAATGTCTTTGATCTACTTTGATTGGGCTTCCATATACCGGAGCTACAGTCTATCGGCAATTAAAGTTGTCCTCTTATCTATTTGGCTGCAGTAGCAGCAGAAGGACAGAATTTATTTTGAACTGCTTCAGTTCGGTTCATCTTTTCAGCTAGTAATAGACGCTCGTTCATTTATAATGTCAGATTTCCTACAGCAATTTCAAGAGTTAATTACCGCTATTATTACATCTTTATTCCTATAAACTATCCATTGTTGGTCATCACACTGCTCACAGAAAGTTGCTTGTTCAAATTATAAGGTAAGAAGACAGATAGATATACATTGAATCTGATTGGTCAATGGATTTATTCCAAATCCTTCTCAGTCTGTCGAGGTTCTACTACGCCAGCCATGGACCTTATTGTTTTGTATCCAAGGAACGTTGTAGTTACCAACAACCTACCTTACGTTAGGTGGTTATCTATTGCTTCTTGTTCGCGGCAGCGCCGCGTCCCCGTCAAATATCCGCCGAAGTCTATCGAAACATGTGGTGCAGAGCCTGACGGCGTCAATGCCCTCATAAATTAGTATACTAAAGTCAACCTGGTGAAGCGAGTAACTGGAGGTACCTTGAGCATCATGGGGTCTCAACCACAAAACTTCAACCATCCTTACTCCCCATATGACATACAACTCCAGTTCATGCGCGCTCTCTACACTTGCCTGGAAGAAGGAAAAGTCGCAGTGTTCGAGTCTCCGACCGGTAAGTTGAGCTTCACCTGTCGCTTGATCACCCCAACTAATCACATGGTACAGGCACGGTAAGTAAAGATCACTATCAGACCAAGAGGGAGACTGAGATCTTACTTCCTATTCTGTGGAACGCCTTGCCACTAACGCAACTTTGCCATAGGGAAAATCTCTGAGCTTGATATGCGGTTCTATGACCTGGCTGAGAGAACACAAGCGCAAGGCACTTCAAGACACCGTCAATAAAGCTTCTTGTCAGTATCGGAAGGCGTGAGCACCAGGGATTTGCCGCTGATGAGGTTCTGCAGGCGATGATGACGGCGAGCCCGAGTGGATGTTGGAGTTTGCCAAGCGCGAGTCAGCTCGGGCAGTAACAGAGAAAAGAAGAGCACTGGAGGCTCGCTTAGAAAAGATCAAAGTGGAAGAGGAGAAGCAGAGGCATGCCCATGCTACTGATCACCCAGGAGAAGCTCGGAAGAGGCAGGTATGTCTACCGGTACCTGGATTACAATCTGCTCTGCACTGACCACGCTTTAGAGATTGGATACATCGTCTGGTGACCCAGGTCAAGAGCAAGATGACCAATTTATTCTGGACGATTATGATAGTGACGCTGAAGAAAGGATAACTTATTCCAAGAAACTGGGTGATATCAGTGGACTCTCAACTAGTACACTTGAACTACTGGAGCGCTTCAAGGAGCAGTTCTCGGCTTCCGCTGAGGATGAAACCGGACATGAAGACGACGATGTTAAAATCTTCTATTGTTCGAGAACTCACTCCCAGCTGTCCCAATTTTCAAGCGAGCTGCGGCGCGTCAAAATGCCTTCCAGCATGCCAGCGGAGCTCAGCACAAGCGATGCAAACACTGATGACGCCGAAGAACGCGTGAAACATCTTACTCTTGGTTCACGAAAGAATTTATGCATAAATCCCAAGGTGATGTCCCTAGGAAACGCCACTGCAATCAATGAGCGCTGCTTGGAACTGCAGCAGCCTGGCGTAGCTGCCGAGAAAAGATGTCCTTACTTGCCGTCAAAGGAGGATGAAGGGCAGGTTCTACAGTTTCGGGATCACACTTTGGCGACCATTAAGGACATCGAAGACATGGGAAAGCTTGGTAAGCGGATGGGAATCTGTCCTTACTACGCATCCCGCTCAGTACTCAAACACAGCGAGGTATGTTTTGGATCTGCCTTCTAATCATCATAGAATGTCCTGCTGAATGCGCAGAAGATTGTGACCCTTCCTTATCCCTTACTACTCCAGCGTTCAGCTCGAGATGCCCTCGATCTCTCGATCAAGAATCACGTCGTCATCATTGATGAGGCCCACAATCTCATGGATGCAATATGCAATATACATTCAGTAACAATTACGTTATCGCAGTTACAGACTGCACTTTCCCAACTAACAACATATGCACGCAAGCACAAGGCGCGCTTGAAAGGGAAGAACCGAAGCTACATCGCTCAAATCATCAGACTCATCAGTTCGATTGCAGACCATCTTCGCTCAACCATAGGAGAAAATCTGCCTGCAGAAGGCGCCGTGGATCCATCAGATTTAATGGCTGGTAAAGGCGTCGATCAAATCAACCCGTACAAGCTATCTCGGTATCTACAGGAAAGCAAACTGGCCAGAAAGGTCGACGGCTACGTTGAATTTTCGAAAGACAAGAATCAACAATCGGACGACAAACCTTCGTCACCTGTCCTTTTCCTTGTTCAGAGCTTTCTTTTACCATTGATGAATCCCTCCGCCGAGGGCCGATTTTTCTATCTAAAGTTCCACGACGATATCCAGTTGAAGTATATGCTATTGGATCCGACGAACCATTTCCGGGAGATTGTCGAAGATGCCCGGGCAGTGATCTTGGCTGGCGGAACCATGTCTCCTGTATGTATAACAAGAACCTTCCTGTGATGTTCTCATCTGCTTAAAGAGGCTGACCGATACCATAGATGAGTGATTATCGAAATCACCTATTTTCCTACATTGCCCCAAGCCGGCTAGATACTTTCAGTTATGGCCACGTTATTCCCCCAGAGAACCTCATTGCACACACGCTTGTCAACGGCGTTCTAGGTTCCGAATTTGATTTTACTTACGACTCTCGCGATTCTGAAAAGATGGTAAGAGACGACTTTTGCAGCCGTGGCTACATGAACTTTAGAACTTTCTAACGGTTTGCTGTTCTCCTTTTCTTAGATTCTTGATCTCGGACGGACTGTGGCTATGTTGTGCCAGGCTATCCCAGATGGCGTCGTCGCCTTCTTTCCCAGCTACGATTATCTCAGCCGAATATTGGCCATATGGAGGAAGCCTCTTGTGGGCGAGAAGGGCCAGACTATTCTCAGTCTTATTGAACGAAAAAAGTCTATTCTATACGAAGGTCGGGACATGGGCGCGAAGACGGAAGATTTGCTACAAGAATATACAAGAACTATTGACTCTGGCCAAGGAGCTCTGCTTCTTTCCGTCGTGGGAGGGAAACTGTCCGAGGGCATAAACTTCTCCGATAAACTGGGAAGAGGCGTGTTGATCATCGGTTTGCCTTTTCCAAACATACGCAGTGCAGTTTGGCAAGCCAAGATCCAATATGTCGAGCAGAAAACTTATAACTCGAGCTCTGGGTCTGAGAAAGACAGGCTGTCAATTGCAAAAGCAGCAGGGAAGGATTTCTACGAGAACGCGTGTATGCGAGCGGTCAATCAATGTATTGGGCGAGCTATCAGGCACCGCAATGATTATGCTGCTATTGTGATGATCGACAGGCGATATGAAAAAGCGAATATACAGGGGAAATTACCAGCCTGGATTAAGCAGAGCATGCTGCGCCGCTCTGTACGACGGCCAGCTTCAGCACTCGCAGCGGATCTGTCCAACTTTTTCTCTGGTCGGAGCTCTGGGTAACTGATATTTTCTTTTGCAATTAAAACTACAGACTGACCGGCCTGGCATCATCTGCCTAGGTATCTTGTCAAAAAGCTTCATCAAGCATAAAACCGTAGTGGTATCTGTATCCGTCGCAAAAGAAAGTGGTTGTTCTTGTATGTTGTATCTTGTATCTCCGCCCACGTGATCTGGACGGGGAAGTTGACTGCCAAGAGTTGCAAGGGCTGGACCCTACTTAGGGCAAGCGAACAGCCTAGCGCACACTCTAGTCGGCTCCGAGCCTTGAATTAAACATCTGAACCAGCAGCATATACGACCGCATCCCCCCATCGCCAAACCTCAGACCGGTCTTGTCGAGCACAGCACCGTCGACAAGATGCCTACCCGTTTTTCGAAGACAAGAAAAGCGTGAGTCGAGAATTTCACCCCGTCATACACCTCGAATTGTCGAACGTCCCTTTGCTGTCGTTGTATTTGCGACGAGTCGACGCATCCATTCGCGATCATGAAGCAATCATTCGGAATATTATGTATATCGAGAGACTAACTTGGATTCTTCTTCTACTACAGTCGCGGTCATGTGTCGGCCGGTTACGGTCGCGTTGGCAAGCACCGTAAGCATCCAGGTGGTCGTGGTATGGCCGGTGGTCAGCACCACCACCGTACCAACCTTGACAAGTTCCACCCTGGTTACTTCGGTAAGGTTGGTATGAGATACTTCCACAAGACCAACCAGCAGTTCTGGAAGCCCACCATCAACCTCGACAAGGTACGTTGAATGACTGCGTTTGGAGTCACACCTAGTCCGACCCGAGGGGAATCGCCGCGAGAGCAGGAAGAAAGTTGCATTGGGGAACGTGGAAGAGTAGCGGAAATATGATAGGATTGTGGAGGAGGATTTGTGGTGGTTATGGACGAAAGTGACTGATTGGGCGTCTTTTTCACAGCTGTGGTCCCTCGTCCCTACCGAGACTCGCGACGCCTACCTGAGCGGCCAGAAGACCGACACCGCCCCCGTCATCGACCTCCTCTCCCTTGGCTACTCCAAGGTTCTGGGCAAGGGCCGTATCCCCGAGATCCCCATCGTTGTCCGCGCCAGATACTTCAGCCGGGACGCTGAGCAGAAGATCAAGGAGGCCGGCGGTGTTGTTGAGTTGGTTGCTTAAATGCGGAGTCATGATTGCGAAACGAGCAGGGTGCAGAAATTGGGCTAGGTGCCGTACTGCGGTCGGGCTTGTGATAGAGGGTTCAAATTCTGTTCTCTGAGGTAACAGAGAATAAGAACTCGAAGAATGGGAGCCACGAATCGGGCACATTTGGTTCGTGTATTTACAAAATAATGGGTTTTGTTTGCGATGAGCAGCATAGCCTGGCCTTTAGACGCCCTTACGATCTCACCCTATCAAACAAAATACCATCTGGAAGGATTTTCACACTGTTCAACCTTTTTGCTTGCTCCACTCCGTCTGTTGCGGGCTCTGTCAAAAGCACTATGGTCAACGTTTTGACAAGGCATGTCGGATTTATATTCTGATCGATCAATCAGTTCCTCGACAAGGTTTGCCTCGAAAGCAGGGTTCCATAGCGCACCTCGTAGATTACCATCTTCTGGCTCGCTTCTTCTTCCCTTACAGTATAATTTTTGACTCGATTTGGGGAATGTAGGAATAATCATATTTGATTGCTCTAATGGTTTATATTTTGGATTCGCGGACATACGAACTCTTTTTGGCGTCATCACTGGAGGCAAGCGTCTCAGTTATGAACCGAACTGCTTCGTCCACCATTTTCGGAGTGACCTCGTGGCCAGCTTTCTCATCAATGATGTCTTCAAATGTAACAGCACCATCTGCAAACCAACCATCTGGAGCAATAGCTTTCTTCAACCAGGTCAGGAAAACTTCCCCACGGTGGTAGGGAACCAGTTTATCCGCGCCCCCGGATAGGTTGAGAATCTTCTTGCCAGCCAGACAGCGCCTAAGCACCGGCCGCAGGGCTTGTTGTTCATTTTCAGTCGGCTCAGGCAGAGGATTGTTTCGAAGGGCCCCAGCGTCCGCATTAGGATTGACATAACTCAGAAAAATGCTCGCTGGGTCAAGTTTAGAGATAGTCTCCAGGAGAGAGGAGGGAAATGCTTCAGAGCCTAGAATCCGAGACCCTGGGGGGTCGCTGTTTGTCCAGGATGGCAGCTTCGACAATCGCGCACGATCTACCATAAGATTTACATAGTCCGGACAGCCGATGATGACCACGCCGGCGCTCACGCGGGGTTCATGGAGGAGACAGCTCCACGCTGCATGGCCCCCCAGGGATACCCCCAACACCATATGTTTGGAGATCCTGCGTTCGCCTTGGGGAAACACATAGGCCGGAAGATAGTCCATCAGTAATGACACGTCGCGCGCGGTTCCCTCTATTGTACGAGACGCATTAGATCTCAGGATAATCCACTAGTACTGTAAATAGTCCGGAGGTAGGAACTTCTAGAATTTGCAGATCTGGTACTCACGGAAAATAGAAAACATATCCTGCGCATGTCGAGGGTTCCCATCTCTCCATGCCTCATTGGCGAGAGGATCCACCAATCGTGTGCCATGGTTCCTTTGATCGAATGAGACAGCAATCAGACCCTTGATCGGACCGGCACGACCGTCTTTGATCCTGTTATTCCAGTCCGCAATGACAGACGTTGCGAAACCCGTCATTCGCTCCTGCGTCGCCAACCTTGGGTGCAGGAGCCAAAGACAAGCAATCTCGGAAGCCTGAGATGGGATTTCATCGAGGCCGAAGACCGTGGTGAGAATTCCAGCAATTGGGTATTTCTTCTGGGAAACGGAAGGTGGATTGGAGGATTTCGAGGGAGATGCGGTATCGAAGGTCTTCAAGGGATCCGTCATTTTGCTTGCTATGTATGTGAAATCTCTGCTGGTAAACGCACTGACGAAGATTAGGCATATGTGCAAAGAAAAAAAATACAATTATCTGCGTGCCGTCAATTCTACATCGGATCAGAGACACTTATACATCCCACCTTTGACTCCGCATTCAAAGCCGAGGATATAACGTATTCGGTAAGCGAGCGCCGCACGCAAGCGAGCGCCGCACCTCACGCGTTTTGGCCCCGGTCGAAAACCTCACTTAATTCTACCACCAGCCATGCCTCCAAAAGCGCGTCAAAATGCTAGAAAACTAGCTGAGCAGGAAGGCAGGATCCTATTAGCAATTTCTGCTATTCAAAAGCATGAAATCCGCAGTATTCGTGAAGCAGGTCGTGTTTATAATATCCCCGAGAGAACCCTCCGTCGACGGCTTAGTGGTATCCCTACACGTCTCGAAACACGCGCCAACTCCCATAAGATGACTCAAAATGAAGAGGAATCGCTTATACGATGGATTCTATCGCTTATTCAACGTGGAGCAGCTCCCCGGCCATCTCATGTACGAGAAATGGCCAATATCCTTCTTGCTGCGCGTCATACTACACCTATTCAATCAGTTGGAGAGAAATGGGTATACAACTTTATTCAACGACATGATGAATTAAAGACTTGCTTTTCTCGACGATATGACTATCGGCGTGCTCAATGTGAAGACCCTAAGATTATTAGGGAGTGGTTTGACCGCGTGCAAATCATTATAATGCAGTATGGGATTGTACCTGAAGATATCTATAACTTTGATGAGACTGGCTTTGCTATGGGCTTAGTAGCTACTGCTAAAGTAGTGACTAGAGCTGATATCTATGGGAAAACACCTCTCGTACAGCCAGGCAATC